AAGTTTCTGCAATTTGGGTGATAACTGTGGCCCAAAAGCACTGAAACGCACAAAGTAACCACAGTGTTTTGAAATGACAAAGTTAAGCAGAGAGAGCAACTTGCGGCCCTCCAGATGTTGCTGGACTTCAATTCTTATTGGTCTCAAGCAGCTTGGACAGTAGTAAAGAATGAGGTGGATCTGTAATTTGTTAAGCAAACGAACCCAAAGAGTGCTCACCAATACTTCCTCTTCATCCTGGAAAGAAGTGACAAGTGGAGTGCCAAAGGGTTCCATCCTGGGCCTTGTTCTGTTCAACATATTTATTAATGACTTCAATGGTTCGCAACCTGTGGTCCCCAAGGTGTTTTGGTCTTCATAGCAGTTGGTAAACTGGCTGGGATTTCTGAAAGTTTTAGGCCAAAACATCTGGGGACCCACAGGTTGAGAACCTGTGAATTCAAAACCATCTTAACAGATTAGAGAGATGGGCCAAAACTAACAAAATGAAGTTCAACATGGACAAATGCAAGACACTCCACTTAGGCAGAAAAAATGAAGTGCAAAGATACAGATTAGGGGACGATGCCTGGCTTGATAGCAGTATATGTGAAAAAGATCTTGGAGTCCTTGTGGACAACAAATTAAACAGGAACCAGCAATGTCATGTGGCAGCTAAAAAGCCAATGGGATTTTGGCCTGCATCAATAGGAGTCTAGTGTCTACCTCTCTATTCTGCCTTGGTCAGACCACACCTGGAATACTGTGTCCAGTTCTGGGTACCGCAATTGAAGGGAGATATTGACAAGCTGGAATGTGTCCAGAGGAGAGCAACTATTATAATTATAATTTATAATTTTTATTTTATATTCAAGGTAATATTACTGGTAATATTACTAACAATATTTTATATTACATGCAATATTACTAATAATATTACAATCAAATGGCATAGTACAATATTGTAATATATAATACTGATATTGTGCTATGCTTATTTTTATATATATATATATATATATATATATATATATATATATATATATATATATAGTGTGTGTGTGTGTATATATATATATATATATCTTGTAAACCACTCTGAGTCCCCTTCGGGGTGAGAAAGGCGGCATATAAATGTCAAAAATAAATAAGCAAACAAATAAATAAAAAACTAAAACYATCAAGGGTCTGGAGAACAAGTCCTATGAGGAGCAGCTTAAAGAGCTGGGCATGTTTAGCCTGCAGAAGAGAAGGCTAAGAGGAGACATGATGGCCTTGTATAAATATATGAGGGAAAGTCACAGCGAGGAGGGAGCAAGCTTGTTTTCTGCTGCCCTAGAGACTAGGATGCAGAACAATGCAGAACCTACTTTTATAGAGGCTATTGATTTTTAACAATAACACTGAAACACTGTATTTGAAGTACATACTGGTCTTATCAGAGTAATATGCATCATTGCAGCATAAACAATATATAACATCCAGTGCTTTTCCAAAGTCCTAAAAGGTTATAAATTCAGTGGGCCCTTGAAGAAAAATCTGTTTTAAAAGCTCAGCAGGACCTAATTAGTTGAGTCATGTTCAAAAAGCCCACATGGTTCAAAATGCAAAAGGTTTTATATTTTGTTGCAGAATGGGGACAAAGCATCTATCTTTCCAGATCACCTAAGGCTGTTTTTCATAGTATGGGCCATCTGTACAGTGCAGCCTCCTAAACTGTCCATTTAACCTTCTGCACAATTAGGATCACAAAGGCATGTCCCTGAGAAATGCCACACTATGACTAGAAAGTTACTGATGCACACTGCATAGAACCTGCCTGGTCTCATCAATTAAGTATTCTCCTTGAAGTTGTCAACAGAAGTAGCACAGGACGGTGTTATGAAATATTTTGCAGGAATTGGAGGCATTGAATCAAGGCATTTAAACTTAAAGCAGAAAGTTGTCAAACTAACAAATAAGAGTTTGGAAAAAAGTTGTTTAGGATTAGAATCACCCAAATACCCTAGCTACAGCAGGCACTTTTCCAAGCTCTGACTATAAATGTACTGACAAACTTTAAACAGAATCAAGTACTTGTTAACACATGATGTATCTGAAGATCCTGAGTCCATATTGATCACAATTAATTAAGGCACAGCAACGCGGTAAGTCCATTTGAATGGGTGACTGACTAACAACACAAGGAAATCTACAATGGAATCTCTGAAAAAGACCGACCTCTCTCTTCGAAGGGACTCAGGGCAGTTTATACACAAAAAGGCAAGCATTTGAAAAAAAAACTTTTCAATAAAAATGTTATTTTAAAAAAGGGCAAGCATTCAGTGTCCATAATGATGTCCATAAATGAATGCATACGCCTCAAAATAATGCAAAATAATACAAAATAATAACCGTAAACTTATAACAAAGGAGCAATTAACATCAAAATGAAAAACAGAATATGAGTAATCAAATAAACATAATTATAACATAATTAACAATTAAGACATAAACCCTAAGAGAATGATTAAAATACATAAAAATGGCTATCGTGGTTGTTCTTTAACATGCACTATAGCAGCAGTGGAATACAAATAAATTAGTTAGCTTTCCGGTGGAATTTAAGTGTCTTAGTCCTCCTTCTCTACATGGAGTAAGTGAACTTCATTTCATTAATATGTTCTCTCTAAGGATCTCTAGGGGCCTCTCCAGTCAGTACTTTATTGCAGTAAGTCCCGCAGTAAAGAAGGGGCTGTCCAGACAACGTTCTGGACAGTCCGAAATTAATTAGGTACAAACCGGGAAAACCTTGGTTTGTAGCAAATTAATTAGATAGTGGATTTATTCTGCGCCTTCTTGGAAGGCACAGGATAATCCCATTATTTCCAGTGTCTTGACTGCAGTCCAAATACCATTCCCACAGATTTCTGGACTAAATTAATCCGGAAAACTGTGGGAATACCCACCCCGCTCGCCCAAAGCCCCAAACCCCTTAGAAAAGTAAAATCGCTCCCCTCCCCCCACTCTCCTGGTGCGTCATTTCTACATGCAGGGAGAGCTGCTCTGAGAGTGCACTGGAGGCCAGGTAAGTTTATTTTATTTTTCAAAGGGGTTTGGGGCTTTGAGAGAGGGGGTAGGGCCTCCAGATGTGCTCGCAGGCTAGTCCTGCAAGAGCATTTTGACACCTGCCGCATAAAGCACACGCTTTCTGAGGTTGGTGTGGACAGGCCCCCAGGAAAATCCGTGTCTTTAAAACGCGGATTCTCCTCGGATAAAGGCCTGTCTGAATCCGCCCTAGGTCTCCCAAGGTCACCTTGGGGGACCTAGAGATTCCTAGAAAAATGTTCTCTCTGGTAAAAAGATCTAGAGGAATAATTCATCTATTCCTCTCCCCCCCCCCCCCCATTCCCACAGATTCTGTTCTCCTAACCTCTGCAAAAGTGAGGGTCTACTGTGATTCCAACTTCTCATCACTGGCTGTGCTGAATTGGACCGATGAGACTTACGATCTCATCACTTTCCTTTAACCATGGAGCCCACTGGCTCCCATTCCACAATGCACAGCTACTTCCGGCAGAGCTCCATGGTTAAAGAGAAGGCAAAACGGGCACATGCCGCCATGGTGACAACACAGGAGGCTTCCCATGTTACACTAGGAAGAGTGGGGGTGCCAGTCAGTGCTCCCGCCGGTACGATGGGTACTCGGGTGAGTCAGGTGATGTGAGGTGTGAGGCGACAAGTTCCCCACACCCCCCGGCGAACACCACAGGAATCACCACAATCAGTGGCAATTGCGGTGACATGTTTAATGAGGTCATTATAGTCCAACAATACCTGAAGAACAATTCCCATTCCTTGTAAAAAGAAAATAAATTTCCCAAGCTCTGATTCGAAACTTTTGTATGAAGAATGAATTAGCTGACGGGAAGAGTTGCATAGTGCCCACCCCTGAGTTGAACAGAGGACTTTAATTAATTCATTTTTCTCAGGGTGAAAGTAAACCATGTTGGAGCATGTAAGAAATCAGTGAGTGTGTGTATCAACTCTAAGATAAGATACATAACGCAGATTGGTTGGGCTATGCCTGGGGAGCAGGCCGAGTCTGGGACTTTTGGATACTGTTACATTTTTGTTTAGGCTTGAGCTAGCAGGTGCTTGGAGCAACAGAGAGCGAAGCAGAGAGAGACAGTTTGGAGTGTGCTCTTGCTTCCTGAGCTGCTGAAGGAATTTATCCACATAGACAAAGAAAGCCCATTTTAAATTTTGCATAAAAGGACATTATGTAAGTTGATACAACTGATCACATTGCACATATGTTGTTCTGAACTACGAAGAGTAAACTACTTGTTATTCATTGTCATCTGCATGGCATATTTTCTTTCTCTAGCAAGGCAGTGTGTGGGCTGGTCAAACGTAACCTACACATGGTTTATTTTACATTATGCCACAAAACACACAACTGTTTAATTCTGGCTGCATTGTTTCCACTCAGGAAAATGGACCGAAGTAGCAACACTGTCAAAGCCATCATGCAATAACAGAATAGCCATTTCCTCAATGTTCCTATTCACGCCAAAGGTTTTGAAAAGAAGAAAAGCTGTCTTAATTTGTCTTTCCAATCTTTAATTGAGAAAGAAACCCAGGAAGCTGACTTATATCAGCTAAGACCACTGATCAATCTAGCCAAGGAACAATTCTCTAGGTTTTCAAGCAGGAATGCTTCCAGTTCTACCTGGAAATGCTATAGATTGAAACTGGGTCTTTCTGCATGAACAGCATGTGAGTTCTACCATTTTCCTTTACAGTTACATTAATAGAATTGTGTACAATGGTTTCTATTACCTTTTCATTCAAAAGGGCCAATTTATCAATTGTTAGACTTTGACATCAGTTTGACAACAATGAATTACTCAAGGAAAAGACAGATCCCCACAAAATACTCCCACTACAGCCCTGCTGTAGCAGTTAGGGTTGTTAACACAGGAAGTTCATGACGCAATGCATCAAATATCATGCCTTTCAAAGAGTCAGCTACTTACCTTTTTGACTTCATATTTAATTGCCAGTTTGACACGAGTCAGTGAAGCTCTGTGTCTCTGGATTTCCACTGGCTCAGCTTCCAAATCTCCATTGAGAATGGCTTCTACCTCTTCAGAGTCTCTGCAGAGATCAAGGACGCCGACCACAAAATCCTTGCATTGCATAGACAGCTTGCGGTAGTCGTTCTAAAAGTGGAAATGTAAAGAGCATGGCCCTTGTTCACATCAAAGTACAGATGAAATGTATAACTGTAGCAATTAAGTATTAGGATCACACACATTTATTTAGCACATGTACATTCCCTCAGTGTGTTCCAACTGCGCAGCTTTTCGCTTTCCTATACTTTAATGGTATTCTGATTATACCTGACAACTTATAGATACAGTGTAATAAATGTAATATGACTGGAAAGAAAAGGAAACTTGACAGATAACAAATAACTAGGGAATTTCATGATGAAATAACCCTCTTAGTCTTAAAGATGCCACAATTTTTAATGATGTAACAGTCTAACAAATATGTCCATTTGAAAAAAAAACTGGGAAAGTAAAAGCAAATGAAATGTTGTTGCCTGGATTAAGATTCAGTTCGTAAAATTAGTCATCTTAGCTATCTGCTCTGTGCCACCATACAAATGGATTCCAATGGCCATATAGTCCAAAAAAACTCACAGCAACCCAGTGATTCTGGCTATGAAAGCCTTTGACAATACTTTGAATTCCAATTTGTTTATCTTTTGGACTTTAATAACCAGGTATACACATAGTAGAGATGGTGGTAGAGCAATTCACAAAATCCTGAATGTGATAGCTTGTCACATGAATAATATGCTTAAACCAGTCTCCTTGCTGTGGTGCCTGACTATGTTGAGATACAAGAATGAGGCATTTCTGAAGGTGTACAAGAGATGAAATCATGTAATGTTTTGTCTGTTCAAAAAGTGCCTTTGAATTTGGAGCTTGGAAGAATTACACGTTTGTACTACAACCTACCAAAGCACCATAGATGTCCTCCCAACCCTACTATACACCTGCAAAATGTGGACTATCTACAGACATCACACTCAACTCCTGGAATTATTCCATGAGTGTTGCCTCAAAAAAAAAATCCTGCAAATCTCTTGTGAAGACAGGCAGACAACTGTCAGCATGCTAGAAGAAGCAAAGACCACCAGCATTGAAGCGATGATCCTATGCCATCAACTCTGCTGGACTGGCCACATTGTTCAAATATCCAATCACCATCTCAAAAAACAGTTACTATACTCTCAACTCAAGAACAGGAAATGTAATGTTGGTGGACAGGAAAAGAGATTTAAAGATGTGTTTAAAGCCAACCTGAAAAACAGTGGCATAGGCACAGAGATCTGGGAGTCCTGGCCTTTGAGCGCTCTAACTGGAGCTCAGATGTGACCAGCAGTGCTGCAGAATTTGAAGAAGCATTAATGGAGGGTGAAAACGAGAAATGTGCCAAGAAGAATGCATATCAAGCCAACGCTGACCGGGTCCACCTTCCACCTGGAAACTGATGTCCTCACTGTGGGAGAACATGCGGATCAAGAATAGGGCACCTACGGACCCACCGCCAAGACACGACACTTGGGGGACCATCATCCTTGGGCTACGAGGGCTCACCTAAGTAAGTACCAAAGCACCCAGCCAGCATGGACTTGGCCATGCTACTAAGATTCTAGGAGTTACGGCCCAAATTGGTAACTTTCCCAAATTCTGTTTGAAAGGTACTCTAAAGACTACAGGAAGAAAGAATGGCTGGCAACAAATTTGCATTGAGATAGCAAACTTTCTACATTAGCAACGAAATCTGTGCCATATGTAGCACAACATATGGTACATTGCACCATTTTCTGTGTTAGATACAAGCTAATCACTTTGCAAAACTATCTGCCTAAGTGTCACCCATCCTTCTGTCTCACCTGTCACTATCATTGTCAGACAACTCTTCCTCTTACCTGTCATAGTTCATTACAAATCTGTTGTTACTGTCTGTTACCTTTCAAATATTCTCTTCTGTTTAGGAACTGTTTAGCATGCTATCCTCATTGTTAAACAACCCTTGCTGAGCTGGGCGGATTTTGATGAAGCTATGGTGAAAAGTACTAAAGATATTCTATTCCTATCAACATTTAAGAGCTGTACTTGTAGAGATATGTTTCTATTGGCCACAACTGATATATTCTGCTAATTATATTTATTTATTTGCAGTATTTATATTCTGCCCTTTTCACCCCGAAGGGGACTCAGGGCGGATCACAGAACACATATACAGCAAACATTCAATGCAGTTTATACACTGACAAGAAAGACAATTGCACATAGATAAAGGTATATATATGTGTTTCCCATCTTTGGCATCTTGGAGGCTTGTGCTCGGTTCTGGCCACTGGGGGGGGGGGATTGCTGTTGCTCCATCTCCTTGCCAAAGAGCTTTGTTTGTAAATTTCCTCCTTGATCCAATTGCCAGCATTTTTCTGGCACTTCCTTATGGGTGCCTTAAATACCTCCCCGCTTTTAAGCAGTACCTATTTATCTACCCACATTTTGCTTTTGAACTGCTAGGTAGGCAGAGGCTGGGCTAAAGACCAGGAGCTCACCCTAACATGGACTTTGAACTGTCAACCTTTCAATTGGCAAGATTTACTGCAGCTGGTGGTTTTATTAACTGATAATTATGAAATAAGTAATATTTTCAAATTGAATTGATTAAAATATGGGTTGATTCTCTGCAGAATATTTGCAGCAAAATAGTTCTTGATACAATTTTATACATACTTACTGATAATTTACCACTTAATTTACTTTTGAGTAGATACACTCAGACTGGGATGTAATTCACCATATTCGATCAACCCACATCTTCATAAATCTGGCAAATGCAGATTGAGGAAGTCAACCTGTTGCCCAATATACCCTATACCCTATATTTTTATGTATACATCTAGAAATTTTAGTCAAAAAATCAACCCAAAAGAAATGGGTTATCTTATCTATGGTTCAACGTAATACTGTATTTATTTAAAAAGGAATCACCCCCTTTCCTGAGTAGAGTGGCAAAAGGTAAATGATTACTCCTTCCTTAGAGAACCTAAAAAATGCAACAATCCCCCCTACTCTCTCTGCCGTGGAATCACTTCTAGCCTTTTTGAATGCTTGGATAGAAAAATGAATAAGGGGGGAGCCACTGACAGTATTGCTGTTTTCCTCTTTCTGCTGAATGGTCCTCAACTTATCCAGATCTCACAACAAAATCCATAATTTTGAGCCCAAAACCTGCCTTCGATTTTTATATGTGCTCAACCTATACATTAATATATATGATATTTCTTGTCTGAACTCAGTGTGTTGCTGATGATATCAAAGTCCCATATAGTTGGGACCTCTTGCTCTCTCTTTCTCTCTATATCAGTACACACACAGATCCATGCTTGCCTGCCTCACCAGTGATACTCTATGAAGACGATAATCTCTGCATCTGAGCAATGGAATAAATATATTATGTGTAAATGTGAAAAACAGTCTTCTATAATCACAATGAGCACAGAAGACCATTTCTCGCATTTGACCATAATATATTTCTTCCACTGCTCAGACTGTTTTAAATTATTTTCAACTGTTGGAGCATGCAAGGAATCGGTGAATATGTGTGTGTCAACTGTAAAATAAAAAGCACGAAGCCGATCAGTCAGGCAATGCCCAAGGGGCAGGCTGAGACCATAGGGGCAGAAATTTTGGTTACAGTTACATTTTTGTTCAAGCTTGAGCTATGCAGGTGCAAAGAGAGGAGAAGCAGCGAGAGAGAGAGTTTGGAGAGTGCTCTTGTTTCATGAGCTGCTGAAGGAGTTTATCCACATGGACAAAAAAAAAAGACTATTTTAAATCTCTCCTAAAAGGACATTATGTGAGTTGGTGCAACTGATCACATTGTACATATGTTCTTCTGAACTAAGAAGAGTAAACTACTTGTACTTTTTCATTAATCTGCATGGCATATTTTCTTTCTCTGGCAAGGCAGTGTGTGGGCTGATTAAATGTGAACTGCACATGGTTTAGTTTATTACGCCACATGAACTACCCTAAATTGTCGTAGACTGCTTTAAATCTTCACACTGAGCTCTTTCCATATAAGATAAGATATAAATATTTTCATTAATAAATAAACTTGAAAGCCCAGTAGGTGGTAAAATGCAGTGATTGGAAAGGTGCAGTGACTGTTAGTCTATAATTCCTCTATCAATATGGCCAGTTGCTAAGAAGGACCCTTTGTTGTTTAGTAGTTCAGTCATTTCAAACTCTTGGTGGCCTCATGGACCAGCCCACACCAGAGCTCCCTGTCAGTCATCACCACTTCCAACTCTTTTAAGGTCAAGCCAGTCACTTCAAGGATACCATCCATCCATCTTGCCCTTGGTCGGCCCCCCTTCCTTTTTCCTTCTATTTTCCTCAGCATCATAGCCTTCTCCAAGCTTTCCTGTCTTCTCATTATGTGGCCAAAGTATTTCATCTTTGCCTTTAATGTCCTTCCCTTCAGTGAGCAGCCAGGCTTTATTTCCTGGGGTATGGACTGGTTTGATCTTCTTGTGGTCCAAGGCACTCTCAAAAATTTCCTCCAACACCACAGTTCAAAAGTATCTATCTTCCTTCACTAAGCCTTCCTTATGGTCCAGCTCTTGCATACATAGGGTTTCTACGGGGAGTACCACTGCTTTAACTATGCAGATCTTCATTGCCATTGTGATGTCTCTACCCTTAACTAACCAGAACGATGCAAACTGCATTAAAAACAGCAAGAGACATCAATTTGGAGGTGCCTAAAAGTCAAGTAACCAGAGATCCCTTTCTTCCTCGGTGCTAGACATCTCTGCTAACAGCACAGCGGATCACTTATCATTGAACTGTTCTCTACACTAGTCACGTTAATGTTGCCCTTAGTCACAACACTAGCTTTTACATTTTTCTGTGCTTGGCTGCTCATACATGACAACATCTTTCATGTTTTTTTTTCCAGTTCAACCTCTCTGCTTACTTTGACAGAATTCTTTAGTTACAACTCCTCAGTGTGTGACCTTGAGCTCTTTCTGCAATTATAGACATTCTCTCTTTATCCTCCTACTGCACTAACATACAAAGGTTTTATTTTCTATGTATGTTTTGACAAAATTGGCACCACA